CACGACATGCAGAAAATCATGCGCCAGAAAATGCACTCTGCATAAAATTACAATACTGCAGTGCCAGTCCTTCTAGTGCGTGACGAAGAAAAGGATAGAAATCTGTTAATCTCACCCTCCTAGGAGCTGAAACAAAGCCCTGATAATCCCATAGGCACATTCACTGGCAGCACCACAAAGGTGAAGAGAATCAGCTTTGCAGTGATGTTCTGGGTACTTCAACAAAATCTGAGCCTTAACGTTGCAGTAATAGCAGCCAAGGCTGTATGCTTAAGCACAGCACATTGTATTCATGCACCCAACATCTCAGGTGCACTTGCTGGCTGTCTAAAACATGGCAGGCCTATTACGCTTACATGCACGACATCTCACAGCTGTACTTTGGCGTGTATCAGTCTAAAATGCAGTACTGCGTTTGTTAACCCAAAGTCACAGGCGATGAGCAGATTCTCTTTCCTCTCCAGACCATATGCCATTTATTTTCCATTTTATAGCCATATTCCCCAACTGATTCCAAGTCTCGTTTTAAAATGTTAAATCTGGTCACACCCTACTTCCATGTATAATTGTACAAACTCTGGTTTAAGCTCGGACTGAACACAGTAGGGCTGCATTTCCCAAAACGCCAATGCATTTTTTTCCCCCATATTGCTGTTGTGGGGCTGAAGGCGTTTACCTGCGTATCAGGGCTCTGCTCGGCCCAGCTGTTCTGGCTCCTCTGTGGCCATGTTTCATCCTGACAGCGGGCGACTGAGGGACCCGGCTGCATCTCCAGTACTACCACATAAATGGACCCCTCATGGAAACCCTGGGCCTGCACAGATCGCAGGGTAAAAACCCCCCACTAATGCCACAAAACGAAGGGAACAGACCCGTAAGCAAAGGATCCAGTGGGTGTTATCTGCTGGGGTTTCACGAGTCAAGATTCATCATCTCACTATATAGGATCAGTCTGTGAAATCTCACTTCTCTGGGGCTACTGTCCAATTTGGGATGATGTAAAGATAGATTTAAATATAAAACTAGAAAAGCATTTGCTCCTCATTCACACCCCTATAAATCATGCATCCAATTTACTGACAACATATTTAGAATAAACAATATATACGCCTGTTTGAATGCATAACTACCACAGCCATATAGATAATATATAAATACATACATGGGGTATATAATCAAATTATATATGCATACATTTTGCACAAGAGCAGAACATCAATTACCCTTAGCAGCATCAGCAACAATGGCGAACAGATACATACAAACACATACTCCTATACTGAAATATAAATCTGACAGAGGAAAGAGCAGGGTTTTATTCTGCTGTTGGGAAGTTGTAGTTGAAGGCTTAGGAAGCAATGTAAGGGGCAGACAAGTCTCAGTCCCTGGCGTGTGTGTGGGGGGGCAGCGGAGAGATGAGGAACTGGACAGCCTGAAGGAAAACGCTGTTCCTCATCTGGGCGGTTGAGGCCTGCAGGTGCAGGAAGCTCCCCTGTTACAGTAAGGGATCAAAAAGCCTGGGAGAATGTCATTCACCACTCTGGTGTCTCTGCAGATGCAGCTTTTTCACAGATTCCACAGATACATTTCACAGATGGCAGGGAGAGGGGTCCTGATATTCCCGGCCATGCTTATAATCTGCTGCAGAGGCTGGAACTGCGCAAGACGAACCAGAAAGACATGCAGCTCGCAGTTATGAACCAGCTAAACTCAACTTGCGGAAAACGCGAGTACTTTTTGAACATTTTTATGAACTTTCTTAATACAGCTGCTGTTCTGCTCCGTCCAGACTGGTACCAACACCACTTACCCTGGCTTCTTTGGGACCATTTTAGCTTTTTCTAGGCCAGACATGCCGCAATTAACCCTGTCGGGAGTGTGACAGATGTGCTCTGTCAAAATGGAACACCAGTACAGAGGACAGAAATAGTCCTCAAAATAAATGTGTTGGACACATTGCTAGAAAGGAGCACTGGCATCTTACAGGAGCACAAAGACTTTTCTCTTATTTTGCAAATGTTATCCTCCATTACACAAACGCGTACAGTTGTGTAAGATTTGGATAAAAACGCTAATAAGAAAACGCGAATGTGAAGTGTGTACTTGGCTCAGACAGGGTTACTCTTACGTTTTCATGAAATTTTTAAGCATCATTGCCTTAACTGCTTGGAAGCTAAACAAAAATTAAAATGCACCAAAACTTAACTTCGCATGGATTCTTATGTTCAAATCAAAGGTAAAACGCCCTCACAAATAATAATAGAAAACATTCCCTTTTACACTTATTGCATCATATTGCACATTTGCTCTGTCCAATACTACTGACTGGCTTAATATAATTATGTTGTGCCATCAGCTACAATATTTCATGCTCTTTAAGTTATCAAACGTACATCATTAAATGAAAAAGTGAAAGCTATCGCTTTAAAGTTAGGATAATCCTGGATAATCTTTTACTTCTCAGTTCCACAGTGAATGGTCTGTGTACTTCCTGATTTAATGGCAGTATGGTAACCAAAAGTTACCTCAATGTTAGCACTGGGGGGGCGGCATGGTGGTGCAGTGGTTAGCACTGGGGGGGCGGCATGGTGGTGCAGTGGTTATAACTGGGGGGGCGGCATGGTGGTGCAGTAGTTAGCACTGGGGGGGCGGCATGGTGGTGCAGTGGTTAGCACTGGTGCCTCACACTGAGTCTCTGTCCTGACTCTAGGGGCTGTCATGGGGTTTCCTCCGGGGTCCCCAGTTTCCCCCCACAGTGCAAAAACCTGCTGAACGATCGGTATCTGCCCTTTGATGACTTATTCCCAACCTTGTGCCCGTAGCTTCTGGCAAAGTCCCACAGCCCTGCATAGGACAAGCAAGTATAGAAAATGGATGGTAATGTTACTGATAGATAGACCCTTGTTTATGCAACAGAACCATGTTAAATTAACCGAAAAAATTAAATGTTTTCATCAGTCTGAACTGACAATAAGTGATCCAAAGTGAGCCAATCAGTTCCATACTGACAAACTGCCAGCCCCCTTCGATGCAGCTCTTAGTGATGTGACCACACTAACGAAGAGGAATTACCCTCAAGAGCTGCAATGTTTCGCTCCCCTGATTTGCTAATGAGCCACAAACGACTGGTGCGCTATGAATAGCAATGACACATAAAACTCACGTCAAACAGAAGGAGCACATTTCTTGAATCCTACTGTAATAATAAGCAAAATACATTTTCCCCAGCAGCAGGTGGAGTAAATTAATTAGAGTGATATTATACATCAGTGCTATATATATATAATTATATCCTTCCTGACGAATGAATTACATAAGCACTTCGGGCTTGGCAATGCAATCAGACTTAATAAAAGCACCTGCAGCAGAGCCTTGCCTGCATTTCAATCCCTGTGTTCACCAAATAACTCACTGTCACCTCATCGGAGCCCAACCACTGTATGAAAGGAGCTGTCCATCCCAGCCAAAAGGGAAATTATTATGACAAACTGCTACAGAAGCTGAGCTGGCACTCAAACATGGGCTTCAGTCAACAGGGCCACTTTACAACCAATAATACATTTTTCCCTCCTTATCATTTAAGTGTAGAGGCGCTGCATCCTGAATTTATCCCAGCCACCGGTAACCCGAGGCAACACTCCTGCTCATCAAGGCTGTTTTTGTGTGTTTACATGTTTAGCATTTTTACTCTCTGGCCCATCATGACCACCTGTAATGAAGGTATTTTTCCCTCACGGGTGCATTGCAGACACCACAACTGAGGCGAAGTAGATGCGAAGATTCACATCAGTCATTACAGTTATCCGGATACCAACCACATAAACTCACCTAAAATAACTGTCCAGTTGTAGTTGGCTCGCTTGGTCTCCAGCGGACCCTATCTCCAGTCCCAGGCAGTCTCTCCTCTCAGTTCCACCCAAGCTTGTAATCACTTGATTTGACAGATCATTTATTTAACTGGACGTGACAGACTCTGTCTTTGCTATGAAGCCGTCCAGTCAACAAGGACCAGCCCCCAGGGGTTTCATTTACGGTCCTTGTGGCTTTAAGCTGCCCAGCCCTGCTGGGGGAGGTTGATAAAGGCGTCATTCCCACGGCCAAACCTCAGGACTGCTCACGTGCTTAGAGATCTTAAGGCCTTAGCCAGACAGGTTCCTCACTGCAAGGCAGATAACCCAAACACAAACATGGACCAGAAGGAGTCTGACTGAAATGCAGTTCGCACACTGCTTCAGTAAGTTGGCCACTGCAGTGGCTGAAGCCATAAGGCAGTTGAACAAAATGTGCTACTCTTTGAGTATAGCTCCTTACTAAATGCAAACAAAACACAAATTACAGTTCAGAATATGAGTGACGTACTTGTAACTACAGCACTGTTTATGGGATATCTTCAAAGGAGAACCTGTTCCCACACTACCTTCCTTAATATCACATCTGTCTCAGGATAGTGCCAATATGCTCATTGAGATGAGTTTCCCAGGGAGAAGTGAAAAGTGCCCGATTCACTGCCAAGAGAGGAGGAAGTAAAGCTGATGGTTGTTTTACTGCAAACGACTTCCCACAGTGGAACAGCTCCAATATGCTGAACAACAGGCATCTAACGAAAAGGGCAAATCCCAAACCCAGCAGGACGGGCTTTGCTGGACGAGGAGCGGCCTGATGGTCGATGGACGGCTACCAACCAGCAGGACGATGTTGGAGCAGAGCCAATGCAAGGGTCCTGCGTGGTCCAGCTCTATCAGAATGGAACAGTTTCATATATGAGCAGTTACAGAACATGGATTGATCCATAAGCTCAACATGACTTCCAAGGCCTGACAGCAAAAAAAAAAACCCAAAAAAAAACCAAGGAACGACACAGATATAAAATCAGCAAAAAAACACATTATCTGAAAGAGACATTAAGAGACACACTAGGTAAAGCCTCTCTCACTACCTTTACATTCAAGGTAAAATTTAGAAAATAAACATTCACAGACACCAAGAAAAAGCAACAAAAGTAAAAGGGAAAACATTTTAATAATTTCAATTCCAACAGTCTGTATAACACATGTGGAGAGATTCGGGCAGCTCCCTACCCAGTGTACCTGTTCAAACCTTTAAAATTTCCCCATTTACTCTACAAACTCTACATAAAACCATGTGTTGATCAGACAACAGACAACAATCATGTCCAAAGACAAACAAACTGAATAAAAATTAAAGGCTTTAACATATTTGTCACTTATGTTACAGGTGGGCTGTGAGCCCCCTTTCTGTGGCCACACCCAGGCGGTCCAGCGGTTAACGGGAATGACAGTTTTGAAAGTGCAGAGATTCTCTCAAAACGGCAAAAGAGGAACTTTTCAAAATGCATCAGTTCGAAGTGCTTCAGAGGTAGATTCATCTGGCTTAATAAATACACACCTCCATAAAAACAAAATCCTCTCGACCCTTTCAGTCATAATGTCAGATGTTTTCACCTTTTCCTGGGGAAGTGACCCTGTCAGCCTCATCATCTGTGCAGCTAAGATGGAAAATCAGCTTCAATGGCAATATATTTATTTTATTTATTTATTTATTTTTTAAATAGATATTTTATTGCCCCCTGGAGGGAAATTCTCTATGCCTCCCCCAACTTGCTCCCTGTAGGTGAGAGCAAGCTGGCAGTGAAGGGCAGCCACCCATAGCAGCACCCAGGGAGCTGGGGGTCAAGGGTCTTGCTCAAGGACTTGCAGACATGCTGAGGCTGGGCTTGAACCAGCAACCTTCTGATTAGGGAATGCACTATTCAATGCATGAGCAATTGAATAGTTCTTGTGTTTACGGACCAGGCCTTCAAAATTAATCACGATGATTATTTTTCTTTATAGAAAACAAACCTTTATACAGCAGAGTATGTCCAAACTTGATAGCCCCTAGACGATTCCCTACTGATGACATCAGAAGAGAGTCCCAGCTGCCTGATGTGACTCAACACACCTGGTCAAAGTGTACTGCTAACCCTTCACATCACTGTTTCGTACAGATGCCAAATCCTTCCTCCATGGTCTCATCTTTTCTCCATCTTAATTTTCAGAAAGTTCAGCTATTGAAGTCAACATATGGTTAGGCTGTGAAAATGAATTTTAAAAAGGTACGATCATTTCTTGTACTGTAAAAAGCAACTTGCAAAAAACATGGAGAAGGAAACCGTTCCGTGCGTCACAGCACCAGGACAATATAAGAAGGAAAACAAAAGACCAATTATATTTTCAGCAATCTACTGTATGTGGCATCAGGTCAAAGCTCTGGGTTTTTTGGGAGGGGGGTTATAATGAATTGGGGCCTTATTCTAGAGTGTGTTTAGAAAGGTAATTTCAAGTGTCTTCCAACATCAACATAATATCTGTCTTCCGAGGGCAGTGAGAGCAGTTCTACCTACAATAAATGCTGTTTTAAAAAAGCACTAAAATTATTTGAAAATCAAAAGGTGAACAGTGAACAAATACCACCACAACCACAGTGTCGGGATTCTTCATTAAAGTCAATGACTTTTACTCACCTCTGAAGCCATGACTGATGTCAGAGTATTTAGACCAAAGCACTGTCATTACAATAAAAAATACTGTAATACACTTAATGCAACGTACAAGTTTAAAAACAAAAATATTAATGGAAAAAATTCAGTGATTTCAGCAGTAAGCTGATAGTTAAGGAGTAGTGTCATAAATTGGTAGACTTAGTATTCATTCAGCTTGAGAAATAAGCGTTTCGGAGAAGGTAATCATTACACGAGATGGGGCCTGATCGCTGCCTTCAGAGTGAGCCGTCTCAGCCACCATGAAACACTGGCTACCCAGAACTGTGACTCCCCTCACGGACAACAGCAGGGGACTCTCTCTGCCTACTCCAATATCCTGCCTGAGGGAAAGAGGCAGCTTTCTTAGCATTAGACATAGGATTCTGTAGCATAAATACCATTTTAAACCAGATATCAGTAATATTTAAGAAATGTACACCATATTTCTTATGTATTACAGATGTTCATACCAATAAACATATTGCAGAAATGGAGGTGGCTTTCACAAATAACGGTGTTGTTTTAAGTCATACCTCATATTCATGGCATGCATTACTAGACACTATAAAAATGGACTGAATGAGAAACGGAACACAAAACTGGTGACAAAACAAGCAAACAATGTAGGCATTGTGTACAACACATAATGATTGCCATTTGCAGTAAAATCAGCAATTATTCTTGATGAGACTAATCGTGTTCTATACAGGTCAAGTAATGGGGGGGGGAAAGTATTTTTTTAAAGCATCATCAGTATAATCTCAATGTACAAATCTAGCAGGTGAAAGGTTTATTTTTACAAAAGTGCACAGGGAAACTTACACGACAGCGGCAAAGAGCCGAAGCCATCTTTAGAATCCACCACATGCTCACAAGCGTGCAAGTTTTAAACCCACTGGGTCTGGCCGCTGCACGGACAACGTGTCCCCTTTGTCAACCAGCATACTGGAGTCCACTGCTTCTCGGCGGGACCTGGGCCTGTGGACGTCCTGCCACATCCCCCCTTCCACTGCCTCCTCCCACGTTCTTGGATGGTCGTCCGGCTTCATTGCCCCTCTTGCCCAACTCAGGAAATTTTGTTGAAGGGTCCTATTTGCAGAAGAGCACCAAGAAAATGCAGTTCTGATCCACCTTTGAGTTAAATTAAAGCAATTAATTGTAAAGTTAATAAATGATCATGCAAACAAACAGTTTAATGATAATAACATCACACATTTACTTATATTTCTTTAGGCATGTCATTACCTGAGGTTCTCTGCGTTCTCAGTTGGACATCTCTCCCTCTGCCATAGCAGGCGCCTTGCTATTGGCCAGTTGTAGACTGCGGGTGACTGGCCCACCTGCCCTCACACGTGCCATCACGGCCAAGCGCTCCTCTTTCTTGGGTTGTGATGGCAGGTTCCCTTCGGCCAGTCTCTTAGGTGGGTCCGGCTCGCCACGTTGGGATCTCATGGGCACCAGGGGAAGCACGGGGGGTAGCGCAGGAGACGGCTGCAGCATCAAAGCACTGCTGTTGACGGCGGCTTTACTTTTCTTGCTGAAAGGAACAAGAGCTGCTGGCAAGGAAGCAGGCCTCTTTAGCTGAACAGCCTGGACTGCCATTTTTCCTTTGCTGGGTTGAGGCTTGAGGGGAACAGCGGTTCCAGGCCCAGAACTTCGAGCTCTGGTCTTTCCCAAGGTTTTCGGCACAAGGGCTGGCCCTTGTTGCTTAATTTCGGAATCTGCTGTTCGCCTACGGAGGTTACCATTGCGATCCAGGCTGACAGATATGCTGGCAGCTTTTACCTTCTTGGACTTTTTGGAAACAGGTTTCATTGAGCAGCTGAGAGCCACATGCTTGTTGAGGCTGCCCCGGTAAGTGAACTCCCTGTTGCAGTGTGGGCAAACATAGAGCTGCTCCTCCACTTTCACAGAGCTCCTCTTGGCTATTAGAGACTGCTTGTTCCTCTGCAAAATGGCCTTCTGAGCCAGCTGGTTTTTCCTGGGGATAAAGGCATTCAGCTTCACCTTAGAAGACGGATCTTGGTTGAGATTGAGCCTTTTGGAGAGGCCCATCCGCCGGAAGGTGTTCTGTCCGGCATTGGCAGCTGCCGCTGTGGTTGGGGAAAGCACTCCATTCTGTGCCTTCGCAAACTCCTTCAAGGGGATGGGGTTCTTCTTAGGGGTATACCTCTTCTTATCACTGGCGTTCGCACAGGCCAAAATGTGCTTATGCAGCTCTGGCATGTTATCAAAGCTCCTGCCACACTTAGTGCAACGGATGGCTGTGGTGAATGTCTGTGGGATGTTATGGGTAGTGAAGTTGGTGGCGGAGGCAACAGAGCCAGCAGGGGTGCGATTGTGATATGGAAACGGTGGGGGTTTGAAACTGGGATAGTGCTGGTTAATGCCGAGCCGCACGTTCGGGGCTTTCGGCTTGCCTCCTTCGGAAGCCATGATTTTTATTGTAGTGTACAGCTCTTCTGTGGAGTCATCGAGATCATCCTCCTTCTTCACGTTACTGGCTACATTGCTGGAGGGACCATCCTCAGCTGACATCTCCCTATTTACCGTCACAGGGCCATTGTGATTCTGAGGTCTTAACTTCCCATTTTCCACTTCTGTGTACGTGCAGTTTTGACTGGGGTGAAGGTCCTTTTGATGCTGTTGCAGATTGCAAAGGTAGGCAAACTCCTTTGAGCAAGCACTACATATATAGATTCTGCCAACACCATGGAGGGAGGAACGGTGCTCTAGCAAAGCATCAGCCTTTCCAAAGAGCAGCACGCAGAACTCACACTTGAATGGCCACTCTTCTGCATGCTCAGAGATATGGTGACTCAATTCTTTTATTGAGCAGAAGGGCTTTTCACAAACATTGCACATAAAGCTCTTCGAGAAAGTTTCTTTCTGTAAGGGTTCCACCTTGTCAGATGTCCTTTCAGAGGCAGAAGGTGGAGTTAAAGGTGCTAGATCAGGTGGGTCAGCTGAAGTTGCAACTGGGTCATCAAGCTTCAGATCACCTTCAGATATTTCAGATAGCCCAGACAACGGGGGCATTGAAGGTGCTAGACTTTCAGGTATCACAGCCTCGGACACAGAAGGGACTGCCGATTCTGACGAGGGGGGCAGATGTACAGGAGGGTCAAGAGAATGTGGTGGAGTGTGGGAATGAGATTTTGGCTGCTCTTCCAGTTTTGCCTCCTGGTTTACTATCAAGTTATCTGTAGGAGGATTCTCAAGAACAGTGACTGGAGCAGACACGAGATTCTGAGACGACTCAATGGAAAGTGTACATTCGATAACAACTGCCCTATGAGTAACATTAAAAGAGCTAATATTGCAGTTAGTTATAGCCGTAGAGGAAGAACCACCAATTAAAGAATATTCTGAAGCTGTATGTATAGCCATTTGGTTAAAAGGTTGATTTGTAAGAAATGTATGGCTTTTTGGTTCTGAAGAACTCAGGGGCTCAGCTAACTGATATAAATTTGCACAATTTACCACGTCTTGCACCATAACATTGGTGTCCTGTTCTGAGACAGGTGACAGCTTCTCCTGATGAATTTCAAGAGGTCTAGGTGATATGTTGGGTGATAGGTCTGGAAGAGATTTCTGGGTTGGGGAGGAAGCGGACTGAAGTTCTGTAGATTCAGACAGGGGCTGTGGAGAAGAAGCCGAGGGCAGAACAGGAGGGGGAGGAGTTGGAGACCCTACAGCTGGACTGCAGGGGGAAGGGGAATGCATGGTAACAGGAGTTAAAGAAGGAGGGGGTGACTGACGTGTAACAGAAACAATGAGCTGTTCTGATAAAAGTTCTTCAGAATTATGGGAGTGGCTATCAGGAGAACATTGTGTTGTAGGTTCAACCTCTCCTGGAGAGGTCTCCAATTTGCCTGCATTTTCCTCTACAGCCACCTCCAATCCATCATACTCATTTAACAACACCTTCTCCAAAACACTAGTGTCGGGTTTTCTTTTCTTGAGTAGAGGCTGTGTGGATAAGCTTCCCTTTACTTCAGGTTCGGTGGAGGTCTTCCTATGCATGCTCAAATCCAACACAATTTCTCCAGGACCCTTATTCTGACCCTCATCTTTTTTACTGACAGCACTGGAAAGGTCCAAGGGTTGCTGGTTGCAGGAACTGCCCACACTCCTCGAGTTTGGCCAGTCTTCAGTTGTTAATTTAAAGGGGTCTGTTCCAGATGGACTGGCAGTGTCTCTCTCATCTTTGCTTGAACTCTGTGTTGGGGAACTGCCCTGATTGTCTATCTTTGGTGCCTTAGACCCAAGAGAGACCACAGCCTCTGACTTTGAGGTTCCAACAGGGTTATACTGCGAAGAGTTAGGAGGAGAAGCTGTCCTTCTCTTGAACCTCCCTGAACCTGCAGACAAAGCAGCCATGGGTGGGGGTGGACCTGGTCTGTGACCATCTGTGATCAGAGTCGAGGTAGGTTTATATCCATCACGTGTCTGCAAGAGCTGCTTCAGCTTAGGTGAGAGATATAGTGTTTTTTCTTTCTGAAAGGCTAGTGTCTCTGTGGGTTGAGAAGAGCTGGTTCCAACTACAGATGAAGATGATGATGGTGATGATGACGATGAAGGAGAAGACAAGGAGGATATTACTGGTATAGAGTCCAACTCAGTTTTTATGTTAGGGGGAAGAGGTGGTGTGGCAGTTCTTCTTTTTGAGACAGGTTGGGCAGGAATCTCTTTTACTGTACAAACTGCAGTGTCTACTTTGAGAACCTGGCTGATTTGATCTGGGCTAATAATGAAAGCATCCAGACCAAATAAAGCAACAGAGCTTGAGTCTACCTGAATAACCTCACAATTACTGACCGTGCTAGTTGACAGGATTTTTCCATCAATATACAGGCTAAGGTTTTCAGAGATGTTGTTGGAGATGTCAACCATATATTCCTCTTGACCACCCTCATCTTCCACATCACCACTGGGCACATAAACTGGTGGTGGACTGGCATCAGGGGACCCCTCTGGAGGGGGCTGCTTCTGCCGCTGTGTTTCCTGCAGGAGAGTGCCATTCTTTCGGATGCCCTTGGGCAGCAGATGGCGCTCATGGATCCTCCGTTGGTGTCGCCTCATGTTGGTGTGAGTGCCAAAAACTTTCTTGCAGTATTTGCAAGGGTGAAGCTCCTTGGATTCACCACTGTCATCCACTGCGGAGGCCCGTCGTGTTTCTGCCATGACAGCGACCTTCTGCGTTGAAGAGCTAACTTTCGGATTGACACAGCTCGGAGACCCATTGACAACTGCGCTGTCAGAAGTGGCCGCAGGGTCTGGACCAGAATTATCAGACTGCGAACTGAGTTGACTAAGCGATTTTGCAAGCCCTGAGACTAGAGCCATTTTTTTCATAGGTCCATTTTCATGCCTTCTTTCATGCCGCCGACGGCCAACCTGTGAGCCAAAGGGCTTGCTGCAGTACCGACACTTAAATGTGTGCATCCGACGGTTCACGGAGACATGAATGTGTGTGTGCCGCTCCAAGCCTTGTTTGGTAGAGAAGTGCCGCTCACAGTGCTCACAGGAAAACACAGATGACTCTAGTTCTCCTTCAGCAGAATTACCTGGATCCAGCCCAGTATGCAGCTGGGAGGAGACCGATTCCAGCTCTTGGGTCAGATTTCCTACATCTTCCTCCTCAAGTCCATCACAGTTTGAGTCGGAGCCTGGTTGTTCACCAACTTGTCCCAACCCTGCATCTACAGGGGACAACTGGTTTATCTCTAGGAGAGCACTGGATTGTGGTTCTCCTGCTTCCTCAGCCCTGCCTTCCTCCTCTACCACCATCATGGAGGTGCAGACCTGAGAAGAATCCTCAAGAAAGGCAGCACATGCCTGCTGCACCTGGTCTGTGTTCTCCTGAGACATGGCTGATTCCTCCAGGGACTTCCCTGAAGAATAGGCAGGCTTCTCTGTCACGCCTATGAAATAAAGAAATTATCATGATTATCAAAATGTGACATTAATAAATAAATTTGGTCTCAACTGCAAAAGTCTCAAACTGTTACACAGTAAATTACAGAGATTTAATCTACGCAAATGCTGATTCATAAACCTACAATTTAATGTGAAAATACCTTTTTCCAGCAGTGCAGTCATACTTCATAATATAGGTACATTGCACTCATATAACATTTTAAGTAAATATGGAAATGGATGGATGGATGAATGGAAATCAGGCAAACCCATCCCAAAGGCACAGACTTATGCACTTAATAGAAACCAAGTTTCCAAATGCACAATGGCTGGGATTCATGAAAATCAAAAAGTCAAACAGCAGCCAATGGGAAGAGAGCTAAAACCTCCAGTGAAAGACAGTACATCCCTCCTACCCCACTGTGGACTTCAAAGTCTCACTTTGAAAGTCTCACTGATGGAACATTCATTGTCTTCAGGTCTCCTAAGCCTCATACAGTTATCTGCTTATAGTAGGAGAGCAGCTGCTCTCCTGCTGAGGGGAGATAAAAGCTATATAAACTCATACACACAAAATCATTTGGCCCAGAAATTGAAAGTATAAAATATTTTTGACAATAAAAATGCTCGAAGGATATCCATGAAGATCTGGACATTCGGCAAGAATACTGTCTGACACCAAGTCTAGCACCTCTAAGCAGAGGAATGTGTACACATATCTGTCATTAAAGAAGTTTCTAAGATAACCCAGTACTTCCACAAGAAAGTTAGAATTATTTTTTAAATTCAGTCATGTTTCCTACCAGATTTGTTCATCCAAAGTGTCATTTGTAGCAGAATTATTCTACACCAGGGGTGTCAAACTCCAGAGTGCAGTGTAGCTTAGTGCTTTCCCTGTTCCACCACAAATGATTCAGCTCAAGAGCTGTGTAGTAATTAGCACATGGAGTTGAATCAGGTGTGTTATATGAGGCTAAACCAAAAGCTGTGCAGGGATCCAGCCCAGCAGGACAGCAGTTTGAGACCCTTCGTCGTATACATTCTGGAAGCACTGGATTGAGGCCTGGATACAAGGGATCCCCCTGCCTGCCTGTTCTGTAAGGTGCCTGCCTATCTGTGCTGTCCTGCCATCTACCTGAATTTACACTGCTTTAAATTACGTAAACTTGTTCAGCCTGGTGCTGGCCAGAAGACGATGGGTTTCCCCCTTGACTATAGCATCTCCCAAGGTTTCTTCCCCCTCCATGACAGTTCTTCCTAACCACTTTCACCCAGACTTAACTCTCTGAGGCCGGGGATTCTGTAAATTGATTTATGACTGATACTTTTTAAAAATGCCATATAAACAAAATTAAATAAACCTTCCTGTTTGTGCTGGATGCAATCAGTCATCACTGAAATTAAGTGTAATAAAAATAAAATTGACAAATCTTACAGATTGCAAATTGGATGGCTCACGGGCAAAAAAGCTCCTATAGAAACTGTTCAAAAGGCACATTACTCTATATTATACATATAGAGTATAATACAGTATATGACGAAGTACACTGGTAGCTATGATAGGATGAAAAAAAAGCACACTGGCAAAAATATGATAAAAAGCACACCTTTAAGAACCATCACTCAAAGCAAATCTGTTACATCTGTAGCCAGTTAATTATTGGTCATAATATTAACTGCAAACAGTATTGATTTGAATTCAAACATAATATAAATGTTAACATTGTTTATGCCAATTTATGAGAGCACCTGTGGTTTAGGCAAACAAAACATGAAAACAGGGACTTGGAGACAAGTTCTTGACCTAATAAACAAACGTTAATTTTACAGTCAGCTGACTCTCCCTCCCAAAACAGATTGCTGTATCATCCTTAGACTGCTCAAATTTCCACGAAACAGTGTAAAATTTTATTTGAATAACATTTTGACACAGATGATCGCAAAAGACTTTGTGGCGATTTACATGTTTACAAAGAAATAAATGTGAGTTTCAAGGGAGACTGGTGGCTGGAGCAGGCCTACTGGTCCTTTCTGCATGCTACAGAGTACAATGAATGCAGATAACACATGGATTCATTCCCTAATCACTGCTGGCCTGCAGGTGATGATGCTTTAGCTCAGGGACATATAGTTAAATATGCTGCACCTATATATATATAGACACACACACACACACACACACACTCTATCCTGATTAGGGTTGAGCTGACAGACAACCTGACATTGAATCAGCATCACGATTCCAGTGTCTCTGGCAGGTGCACAGATCAAATTATTTTCAAAATTTACTTGGTTTCCATCTGCCTCGGTAAATAAGCAGGCAAGTTTTTATTTGTATTGAAAAACTAAGGATTAAAATTTACCTGCAGAGCGAGCTCTCGCATTCTCTGCTAAACCTGTCTGAAATCATTCCTATTCGTTATACTATTAACCAGAGCTACTGTCATTAGTTGACGTTGACATATTTTTTTCCCCCATCCATCCATTTTCTGTAACTGCTTGTCCTATTCAGGGTTGTGGGGGGGGGGATGACCCAGGATGGGGCACCCACGACAACAACAATGACAGGGCACACTCACTATTCCCGCACACTTGCACACCTACAAGCAATTTGGCAATTCCAGTTAAGAATAGCCATAAAAGACAAATAAAACATTACCAGAAACCTAAATAAAAGAATGACGTTGTTCCCAATCACATATTTATGCAGGAAAAACAGAAGAGCAGCACACTTTACAGGGTACGGTGCAGCTACCAGGTCTGTTGACACCATTACTATATCACTAAGATTAGCAAGCATAGCCATGAGTCTCAAATCACGTACTTTAGTGCTTAAACTTGCTATTTTGAGTGCATAAGCACATTCACTTAAATTTGTCATTTTGAGTGTGTAACTACTGAAGTATGCGATTCGAGACTCATGGCTGGCAATATGGAGGAAAAGTAATTAAAGACTGGGTGAGTAGGAGAGAATGGGCTGTGAATGGCCTCAAATTTGGGAAAAATTAAATAGTAATGAATTAATAGTAATTAAGTACTTAATGAACTTACGAAGTCATTTAAAAAAAAAAATTTTAAAAAAAAGCTACAAAAATGATATTTCCTTTACAAGACGACCAAACTCTTCCCCCTTTGACATCGTCATATGCCAATTAGGCAGACATCGCCCAACCCTAGTCCTTATGGGTACTTAACATACAAAAAGTAAAACTGCAGAAGGCAATAGCTCCCTTGAACTTAAATACGGTAGAAAAATAAACTCCAAGGATCACAAGCTTAGCATGGTGTGTCACCCATTTCACCTGGCAGAGCTCAGTCTGAAACATTCTTCTAGGCTCACCACCTGCAAGATGAATGGTGGGAGGCAGGAACAGTGCCTTTTGGTTAGCAGATATTAGAAGGACCCAGATGATTCAGATCCTGAATAAAGACCACTGCCTTCCTGGCAGAGCCTGAGCTAGCATGGGCGGCAGAAAGGTATTTTTATAGATATATACCTCTTTACTGGGAGGGGAGTTTCTCCTACATTGGAGATCCCCATAATGAAAGGTCTCCGGAGACTGAAGATACAAGTCCCAGGCGGAGCGCAGTGTGCAGCTGAAGTTTATCATGATGGAAAAGAGGGATGCCTTCATGCAACTGTGAATTGTTCATGTGTAGCCACTGAACAGCAGTTGAGGGTAATTAGCGTTCTTTAAAAAAAAAAAACTGTTTCAAATTTGAGTGTAAGATGACTTCAACCTCACATATCCAGAAAAATGTCTCCTGAGGTCAGATATGTAGAGTGTGAACGGACCGTATTCAAAGCCTCAATCAGTGCATCGGGGGTGCACCAGGTATTACATCGACAGGGCATCACACTTCTCAGCCTCCCTGGAAAAGCCTATGCCAGGGTACTGGAGAAGAGACTTTACCCTATGGTGGAAACCAGGATTCAGGCGGAACAATGTCATTTCCAGCCGGACTGCAGAGCAGGGGATCAACTCTTCTTTAAGATATACTAGGATATATGTACTTTGTGGACTTGGAGAAGGCATATGATACTGTGGGAAGAGCTTCGGGAATGCGGGGTACCCAAGCCAATACTGTGTGCCTATCAGCCTTCAAAAAGATGTAACAAATGTTCTCTCAATTCTAATCTACACATAATCTAATGTATTTGGCGTGTTCGCCTCTGGAAAGGGAGCATCTTGCCTCCTCACATTTGTGATTTTCATGGACTGGATAACAAGGGGCAGCTATGACTAGACAAACATCTGCTGTGAGGGCTGTATGTTACATCTGACGCCGAGTTTGAAGGGCAGAGATGAGAATCAGCACCTCCAAATCTGAGGCTGCAGTACTCTCTAAGAGTGGAAAGCTCCTTTTTGGTGAAGGGGAGGGTCTGCCCTTTAGGCAGGAGTTTAAGGGACCTTGTTCACAAGTGATGGTAAGAGAGAACACAAGATTAATAGGAGGATCATTTCCATGACTGCAGTTCTGGGGGCACGGGGAAGGTCCATGGTGAAGTGATGCTTAAGTTCTAAGACAAGCTTCCCAGCTTACCGGTCAATCTGCAACAAATTTGTGGGTACAAGCAACAGAAATTAGATGTTACTGCAAGGTTGCTGGACTCTCTCTGTGAAAGGGTAAGGAGTCTGGAAATAGAAAGACCCCAAAATTTCAAGCTGAGGTCAATGAGACATATTATAAGGATCCCCCTTGGCACATTCCACTGGGTAAAGACCACAAGAAAAACCCAGGTTTTTATCTCCAAGATGGCTTGGGGACGCATGGGATCCCCCATAACAAGCTGAAGTCTGTTGCTATGGAAAAAGAGATCTGGTCTGGCCCATTTGAGAAGCACTCGGAAAATCAGAGGAGATGTATGCAGACATAGAAAGAATGTGCTTGAATCTCGATAACATAAATTACGACATTAATAAAAGTTCAGTACAAGAAGAGTTAGCTGACTTTTTATATCATATTACTTAGGAAGATCACATGAGACAAGATGCTACCCTTTGGTAATCATGCTGTTAATTGTCATTACTATACTGAGGACATACAACTACAAAAACTTTCAAATACCACAATATTAATTATTAATAAGGCATTTTATATTTAATTGATTGAATGACAAGTGAGGCATATTATAAATGTTCTTATGCTAGAATGTCAGGATTTTCTGTGGGCCAAGTTTAAATGTAATTTGATTAAATGGAAAAAAAAAACATTCAGAACCCAGTAAACAAAAATGCTAGAGGAAAACACAATGCAATTTAATGGCAAGTTTGGTTCTCATTTAAGGTTTTGTGAAACACATTTAAGAAATGTGCATTATTGTGTTCAGATTGCTCAAAGGAAAAGAAAGATCTTTCATAATTAGGACTGGGAGGAAATGTTCAGGCTAGTACTACTCAAATAACCCAAAAAAAACTATCCCAAAATGAAAATTCTCTTAATTGAAAAAATAGCTGCAAATATGCTTTAAGGTAAGGGCTAACTATAAAAGAAATTACACCCTCCTCAACACACACATTATATTTATTTATATATAAATACATATATAAATGTAATATAACATCATTACACACACATATATGTAAAATTACAACAGGCTCATCTTATCTCATAGTAATGATGCAGAACCAGAAATGCTCAGCAGAGCAGCAGAAGCTGTGCATCACTTGCCTCCACAGGACAGCATGCTTGACCCAGCAAATGGCAGCAACAGCTGCAGAGCCAATGCGGCTGCAGACCAGGGAGCAGCAGTCGAGGCATCATGTTATGGTAACAGACTGTGTCACCTGTTCTGCCGCCTTAACATGAGCCGGCTGAACGGGTGACAAGCACCTCCCCACAGGGGGATTATCTCACAGCCCCATGTGTATGGAGTCGCCTTAGCACCGATCCAGAAAAGGCAGGGGAGGAACTCACCAGAAAGAACTGCAGCAGGCAGGGCATATATGACCAATAAATACTTGAAATTTCCTTCCCAAATTGGGTGTAAAAGAGGCAAAGAGAACTGAGGAAAAAGAACAGCCTCTTCTGTCAATCTTTGCTTTATGTTCTGCAAGGTCTGGAATTTATTAAAAACAGAATTCCTTCTGGGAGTACAAAATGACTACTTTCAACAACAAGGTAAGGCTTGGGCAACCCACCAGTTTTGAGTGCAGTTAGTTACTGAACATTACTAAGCACTTCCCACTGACAAGTCTAAATACCTGCAGCTGCAAATTCTGAATTCTAATACTTCATGGAAAATAATGCATTCCTTCACTAACTGCTCTTAGACAAACTCAGGAAAGCGCGAGCATTTGAGAATGGCAAAGACACTCTTGAAGCAATGCAAAGATTTGCACTTTGAAGATGATTACTCAAAACGTAGATAAAACAAGAACACAAACAACAACTTAATCTATATGAACCGATCCATCCTTCCCCTAACCACTTATCCTGATCAGGGCTGTGGGAGTTTCAAACCCCAGGGTAGGACACAAGGCTGTGATAGAGCCTGAATGGGATGGCCGATCATTGCAGGACACACACACACACACACACACACACACACAATCTGAAAAGGAATCAAACACATTATAACAGGTACAAATACAAGAATTAGTGTAAAAGATAAATCTTCAAAATGAAATGACAAAAACTTTGCTAAAAATCAGAAATGCTATATCTATGTTACTGCCAGATTAACGTTTCCAATGGTAGCACTAAGCCAATGAAGAAGGAGTAAAACAATTTAATGCAGTACCCGTGCCAGAGCGAAACATCCTAATGATCATCATACACTCACACAAATGCGACCACATATAATTTTAACACTCTCGTCGCAGTCTGGAGCCCCTACCTATGGACCTCAATGGTTCCAGTGGAAAACGTTTAAGAGGCAACCATACCTGCTAGCTAGCTAGCGAAATTAATTAATGAAATGAGCATCAGCATCTTGCAGATTCACTGCATTTTCAATCATTGACTACTCCTAACTGGTTGATTTAATATTGGCTAATAGGCAGTGAGTGAAAAATTCTGTAGTGTCGAAAGTATAAAGGAAAATACAGTGACGAGACACCGTACCTGGACAACAGGAATCATGCTTGAAATAAAACATTTCAACAACACACTAGTTAGGATGTCAGTCATGACAAAAGTTCACAGCTCCAAGATTGAAGTACAAGTCAGGAGACCTTTATATCTACCAAATAATGCTACAATGAGGGAGGTTTGACATCTTAATAACTGCAAAACTAATTTAATAATTTGCTATGTGCACCTTGAACTGATCTACAAATGATAAATTAACTAGTCATCTTTACCTTTCAAATCTCAATTTTAAGGCACAGCAAAACCATGGAAGTAACAACAAAGAGCCAAAGGTGAAGTGAAAACAGTCAAGCGTTTAAGCACAGCAGCGTCTCCGAGACTTTACAGACGTTTCCCTTCAGCAGTTGCCTGCCAGGCATCTTACCAACAGCTGGTGCAGATCAGAGGGAAGGAAGATAAGTAAAGGACTGGCTTTATTCACTTCAACCACACTGCCCAACTGTACCAGGGGCAGAGACCGAGGCCTGCCACTTAGCTTTCATGGCCAGTCAAAGCACTAACATCTTCTCTAGACCCATGATCAATTTCTACAAAATAGTGGGGTCATGCTACCATGCCTTATTGTGCAGTTGTCCTTATTCTGGATTCTGCGTCTAGACAACTTTTGCCCTTTTGGTTTCAATGAACAGGTTGCAATTCATAATCATCCAACACTGTTTCCATACTCTCAAATAGTCTAGCATGTCCAGGTAAGTTCCTCTCCATTAACAATCAAATACTGCTGGGGGATAAGGAAGATTATATCAATTCAATCAATAATAATAATTTTCAGTCTTCACTCACCCTCATCACAGTGATGAACAAAGAGACAATCCCTTTCAGCTGAATTCTCTCACTAGACAGACAAGTTATGACAAACAGCTAAGGAGCACATTTATCAACAACCTCCAAAATGCAAATGAGAGTACTGAATAAATCATTTTACATGTATCTCTTGGGGATACCGCAGGCCTGGCAACCCAAAAATAAACTTTTTAAAAATTTACCAAGGAGTGATAAATTAGGACTAAATGGCAACTACCAATTCTGGGGGGAAAAAACGCCTTACAAGCTCATTTAAGTGTACATTTAGAAGGGATCCATTATTGAGGAGAGAAATACTAAGAGATATGTGATGTGTAAATCATCTGCCAGACTGAGGTATGATTAGCTACCAATATTACAGCACCTCTGCAGACCTTACTTCATTAAGTTTGGCCTTCGACAGAATACATAGAGGTTACGCATCTTAGCTAAGTATGCATGTGCCTGGTCTGACTTCGGGCAGCTAGCAAGTTGCGACCTGCCTGTCCCAGAGCGCCGCTAAACCGATGGATTTATCCCGTTACCACGGCAGGTCAAGGCAGAACGGCACTTTTCACGACATTAAAACGATAGGTTCAGACGTCAAGTAAACAGACTTATTGCAGCTATTTGTTACTAAAAATAGTCATCCAGCTAACCAAAGCAAATGTTTGGCCTAAGTGGACAGGCGTCCTATGCGTACAAATTTAAATACATACACCATATTTCACAACAGGCTGACTAATCAGTCACATACGAACATAAATATAACCTATACACAAATAAACTAGTAGCAGTACATTATGTTCAACACTCATTAGCTAAAACAACTGTCAATGATACAGTTTTGGACATTCACTGACATTTGGTGATCGGGTGACGGCAAATAGCCCGAAATTGTTTTTTAAAAGACGGTCGTTAAATGAAAGTGACGGAGGTGGAGTCCCTTAAAATACAGGTAACCTTCCGAAATCTGTCAGATGAGCAGCTACTGTAGTGATGAGACTGGAAAAGGTCACACACCCACAATGGTAGGCTGCAAGCCAGTAACAGCGCTTAAAAGCTGCTCGTATGTCACCCGCGCCCACTTCGACGATGCGACAACGGCGGGCAAACCGGAGAGATAGCAGTTTTATGAGGTAATTCCGTTAGCAGGCTGGCTAACGCAGCGGCGGCTCTCCGACGGTTAGTAAACACAGCGTAAGGTGGAGCGGCGGGATAGCTGCGTACGGCAACTTTTAATGCACAAAAATGGCACTTCACTCCAATTTATCAGTAAACAGTCACCACAGTGCGACTGGTGTATTTTAAAAGCAGATACTGCTTACCTCGTGGTTTAATGGTGATTTTATTTTTAATTTTTATTTTCCTTTTTCCCTGTCTTGCTCAAACCTCTCGTCTGTTCTCCATCTGTAGCAGCTATCATCGGATTGTCTTCCCCATTGTACAGCACCAGTAGCTCTTCGGCCCCTGTGATTGGCTGGAATTAGCAAAGGCGATGAAATTCTCGCCAATCGTTGGTAAGTTTATTAGATGATAGAATGCAGGCCAGTAGCCAGGGGCGTGAATTTCGCCCTGCTTGCCTGTCAACCTGTTTGTACGAGGTAAATGGACAACTAGAGCTTTCAGCTGAAAAAACGGAGTAAAGTGCACTCAGGAGATAACTGCTCTATCGCAGGTTTCAGACGTTTTTCCCCCCAGAAATTGAGTTAATTAATATGCAACCAACCCGATTGTCTAAATGGGAAGAAAACCGAGAAGTTGACAGGGCAGCAGTTAGCTGCAGCATCAAATGCACCAATGAAAAGAGGTTTTCCCCTGGTATGTGCACGTCAGGTCCTGTCACGAAATCTCAGAAATGCGCTACCAAATTTTAACAATCTAAAACATTTTTCGCATTTCTCTGGTATTTTACTATAAAGAGAAGGTCGCTCCCCCTGATTATAAAAATACTCCTTGTCAGAAATCCTTGATTTGATTGTATCGTTTAGTTTCTATCTCTCCATTGTAACACCTTAGTGTCCATCCACATGAACTCTCAGCATTCACTCACTGTATATAAAATTATCATTCCTTTGTTGTTTTCTCTCCTTTCACTCCAACACAATTCAGTATTACAGACCAATATCTCTTCACTCCTTTCACTCCAAGGCTATGGACCATTGTTCTTTCAAAATCCTAAGTACATATCTATTCTGACAAACACCATTGAGCTGACGACACGACCTGACACTTCGTTATAAAGTTTTTGTCTCTCAGGTCTTTCACCCTGCTACAGGTGCCACTAACCCCCAAACCAGAAAAGCATCGTCTCATATTGAAATGTGTCATGCCATCAACATAGTAATAATTGTTAAGCACCATCAATAATTCCATCCTATGCTTCACTTTGCTACAATGTCGTCATTAACCTGAATTTATCTCCTCAGCAGCACCTTTATCTGGATCCACACCATCTGCTGCTTCTTAGCATCTATGATAAAGTCCTATCAGTTCCTCTAAACATCTGACAAATCTGTGTTAATGACAGTGTTAGTCAAGTTTTTGGTTCAACCATGTTGTAGCTGTGACTACTGGCATACATCCACAATGCTACAGCAAGAGATGCATTTGTCTTGTTTTATATGTATTCAGTGTAAAGCTATAGTTGTTACAGGAAGTATATATTGTTATTCATTCATTTTCCATACCCACTTGTCCTGTGGAGGGTTTCAGGGGTCTCAGGAGCAATGGGCACAAGGCAGGGAATAACCCAGGATGGGGCGCCAACCCATCAAAGGGCACACACACCATTCAGATGTATGGCCAATTTGGCAACTTCAATTCACCTTAGCATGTTTTTGAACTGTGGGGGGAAACTTGAGTACCCAGACAAAACCCCATGACAACATGGGGAGAACATGCAAACTCCACACAGATGGAGCCAAGGCGGAAACTCGAAGCCTAGTCTACAGAGTTGTGAGGCAACCATGCTGACCACAATGCCTGGGTGCCACCCCTCTTCAGAATCTTATATATGAAATAATGCTGCACAAAACTGATCACACTGACTAACTGAAAAATGCCTTACAATACTGATTAAACTTTGCGGACTGTAATCCATGTAAATACTGGAGGAAGAGTTACGTCATAACATAGCAACAGGACAGACACAAGTCTCTTCTGGTAGGATGACTGAAACTGTCCTGTGGACACCCACACCTCCCCTGATATAAGTAATATGATGTAATTAAAATGTGTATTTTGATTGCAAATATTTGGAGTATTTTCTCTATGACCCTGACCAGGATAAGCAATTAGAAGACAGATGGATGGATGGATGGGATATTTCCCATGCCTGTTTAGTGTGAGCTCCAGTGAACAAAAGCTTAAATAAAAACAAGAGAGAGGGAAAAGCTTTGTTCTAAAATATTTTCCCAGACTTAGAGCTGAAGAAGGGCACAGGTGGCAGGCGACGCTGCAGCAGGTCCTTTGTCTGTCACCTGTCACATGACTATAAATAGGTTACTGGGCCAAACATCAGGAAGCCTGCGGAGACCTCAGCATGACAGCAAAACTAGCTGCCAATAACCGCAGAATTCTAACGTTAATTGTAATCTAAGAAACAACACAACATATTAACCAAACTGACTGTAAATCTCTCCCAGTCATTTATTATAGAACAGAATGCTAAACCTGGTTACAGCTGGTCCATTGTTCACCCAAAGCATCTGGGAGAAAAATACTGAAATAAGCTACATCTTTAAAGCAGTGGTATATTTCTCTAATTTGGTGAAGGCTTCAACGACGAGTCTTTCCAAATATTAACAAATTTAAAGTTTTTGGAGCCTGAATCTAGAAGGGGAAATGAATTCGCGTAGAATAAGTATCGCAAACTACTGAAACAAGGTATTGCTGCTCAGCTAGTGGCTAACTGAAATCCGTTGATGTAATATTCCATCTAAAAACCATAAGTCTGGAGGCTGCCCACAGCTGCTTTAAAAAAAGCATCTAAAGTTACACAAAAATGTGTAGCCTATACTCCTAAAAGCATAAGCTGGTGTTCAAAAGTCCTGCATATTTTAAATCCCTCCCCCCATTCCCCCACAGCACCAAACCTGCACAGAAAATTCTGAAGATGGCACATGCATGCTCTAATCGCTCATATGTTGCTACTTGTTTTAAACAAATAGCCACGTCCATGCTATCAGGGTTACTGCTGTTAATTGGAGCAATGTAATCATATGCAGATATAAAGGATACAAAATAATTCTGACGTAAGTCCGCCAGTCTGACATTTGCAAGGGAAGACTGAATTTACTTTAGCCAAATGAGAAAGGCAAAAGGAAATGTTTTGTTTCTGTTATTATAATCAATGTGTTTGTGTGCAAACACACTGTTAGATCTGTTTGTCTGTCTGCTGTGGTTAGGTGGTGTAATGTCAAAGATTGCAGATGTTGATCTTGCTAGGGGCTCACTGCTGATGTACCTTTAAACAAGGTTAATTATCATTGAAAAATGCTTTTTATAAACAAGAAAGGTACAGTAAATGGAACTAATTCTCTTATAAACTATACCACCATATTATAATTTATTTTTCTGTTGTCAATAACTAAACAGTAAAATTAAAATGATTAAATAAAATGCTTGAAATGGTGTCTGGGTGTGATTTCACATGACTTCTCTAGTGTTTATGTACTCTGTTTCATATCAGAACACAGCATAGTTAAATTAGTATGTGAATCATCACCAGTACTACAGTATGCTATTTCATATCAAAGTAATATGATGTATAATACTTCATAATTGATATTGGTTTAATGTTGACTTACACTATTCCCAGAAGTTAAAGAGATCATTAATACTTGCTATGGGACAAACCATTGGAAACAGCATTAAATTTAATATAGATGGTGCGAAAGCTTATTCTGTTTCACTGAGATGTTAAGGATGAATATAGTCATGTTAAAAATAACATTAATTTACAGCTGTGCATGAGTATAAAGTAATTTCCATAGTGGTGGACTGGTGTCACATTTTGGTCCAACTTTAAACCAACTGAAGGAGGTGATGTTCTCCAAGGCATGTGGGCACCTCAGCAACATGTAAGAGAGAAAAAAATGGGAGGAATCTGAAGATTAATATCTGCAGTGACCTGTGGCGCTATGGCAACGAAGTGCACAAAAAGTGGCAACACTTCTCCAGTGTTGCCAAGAGAGAGAGGGTGCTGAGGCTAGACAGCAACAGTGCATAACTGGAGGAGAGCCATTGCAGGCTGTTCTTCTCACCCCAGAGGAAAAGCAGGTCCTGGCCATACTTGGGCTAACTGTGACTGAGGAACTATGGCTAACTGTGACTGAGGAACTACAGCTAATTGTGATTGAGGAACTATGGCTAACTATGACTAAGTAACTACGGCTAACTGTGACTGAGGAACTATGGCTAACTGTGACTGAGGAACTACCCACAAGTAGCACTCGCAATACATGTGGGTGCAGTCAAAAGCTGACTGTACTGCAAAAAGAGTATGCAAAACTGTATGCAAAAAGCTGAAGGTAAAGGGAACAGCTCCTGCTGAAGAGAAGAGCTTCAGCAGAGGGAGAGGCACCATGCTCAGAATGTCAAGCTGGCAGCAGGTCTTGATGGAAGCAAAATTCGACCAACCCTCCATTTCAGTCACCATCATATTACCCACCCCCACCTCCCCTCCCGAACGTGAGTTATTCACTAATTATGAAATGAAATTAATGGGAAGGCGTTGCATCAAGTTCCATCAAGGACATTTTTTAAACAATATATTTTGGCCATAGCATAACTCTTTTTGTAGTCACACATTTTTATGCACAGTAAATAAAGACAGTACAGGAACAGTGACCATGCCTGTGATGTGTCAACAAAGAACCCCCACATAACATCAGAAGAACACCAGCAAATTTACAAGTTCACCAGCAGGGGCACACTAACTTCCCTGGGGATTACAGGCTAACATGGATAGTGGGCCATATCAGGATTTTTTTTTTTTTGGAGTCAAAAGAAACAAGAGGGAATTTAAAAACAGTGGACTATCAATAATATGCTGTTCAAAACATGGGGCAGTGGGGGCAGGAGTGCTACGGGAAAAATTCTCTGATCAAGGGGGGTGGGAGTATCTCACCAGTGGTTTGATTGGCCAAATGTAAGATGTTTAATAGCTCCCTCTATTGCTGTGGCCATATACTTTAGCCTAGGACAGTTTCTGTCCGTGGTCACCCCCAGGTGGTTCATGTTTTTACTCCCAGCCAGACAGTCCACATTTTTGCTCCTTAGGCTAAGTTATCTTGAATTTTTGCACACTTTTATTCATGTTCTCTACATGTCTTCTCACAGTTTGTCTACCACTGTAGCAGGATGGTGTCCGAGACATTGGAGATGTAATGATAGTCTTGCATCTTTGTGCTGTTTCCTTCTTTTAGGCTATTTTGTACTGGTTCGCATGGCAGTGAAACATCCGCTACCACTGGACACCAGTGTAGAAAAAGCTGGGTAGCATGAAGTCTCAGACTTTGAAGTCTCAGACTTCAAACTGTACCCTGGCTAACTGAGCAGCCAAATCCATATTCAAGCATCCAAGCAGAAATTATTTATTTCAAGATGTGAGCAGGTGACGCTCAAATTTTTTTTCAGATATGCAGCTCCGAGCTCGATCCCGCT